TTGTTGCCATCATCATTCTCAAAACATTTGCTTTCTACTTGAGCCCTTGGTATCAGCTCCTCATTTTTCCCCTCCCTCCACACCCCCCATTAAATTTTTCCCAGGAAAAGCTGAAGGCTCCACTGGGAGTCGAACCCAGGGTCTCCTGTTGACGAGACAGGCGCTTTAACCAACTAAGCAATAGAGCCACCTTGACCCTCCACTCTACCAAGCATGGTATCTTTTTCCAACCACTGGTCGCTCCTGACAATATGTCCAAAGTCCATGAGATGAAGTTTTGCCATTTTCCCTTCTAAGGAGCAATGTGATGGTACTTTCCCCAAGACAGGTGTATTTGTTCTTCTGCAAGGCCATGTTAATTTCAAAATTCTTCAACACCATCACTCAAATGCATCCATTCATCTGTGGTCTTCCTCACTCACTGTCCAAATTTCACCTGCGTATGAGGCTATTGAAAACCTGGGGCAGGTGCACCTTAGTCTTCAGAGTGATAGCCTTGCTCTTGAGCACTTGAAAGAGGTCTTGTGCGGCAGAGTGGCCCGATACCAATCACCCCCCTTTCCAGGGACAGCACACCTCTCTAGGTAACTGAATCCAGAGTTGGATGCATTTGGTTCTTGATTTGATAGCAAAAACCAGATACCAAAACAAAGAAAGGACACGAACACAGGATTACTGAACCTATAGAGACAGCAAGTAGAATAGGGGCTTGGGGGGGGGTTCAGTGGTGGAGGGGGGATAACGGGAGGACAATGTCAAGGAGTCCATGTAGGCAGATCTCTCTTTTTGGTTCGTTTTTATCTGTGCTGAAAAGGTGCGAAATTATGAGAAAGAACGCGGAAGACAGAGAGTCACCAGTTTAGTGGTTTTAAATGTCTTTAAATGTTTGATTGAGAATCACAGATGAGATGGTACTTCACCTTGAGAGCCAATATATACTCTTGAGAAGCAATGCCTATTTTATAAAGTTCCATTCCATCCCCTAGTGACCAGTAAACTACTTTCTGTTTCTGTAGATTTGCCTAGCCTGGACAGTTTCTATACCTGGAATCAGACAATCTGTGATCTTTTTGTATCTAACTTCTGTCATGGGGTCTAAGGTTTTCAAGGCTCATCCTTATTGTAGCATGCATCAGCACGCCATTCCTTTTTCATTGTCCAGTAATATTCCACTGTATGGTTACAGCCCATTTCGTCTCCCCATTCATCACTTGATGGACATTTGGGTTGTTTCCACTTAGGCGCTACCGTAAATAATGTTACTATGAACATGTGAACCAAGGTTCTGGGGTGAACCTATATTTTCAACTATCTTGGATACGTATGGGGGAATGGATTTGCTGCCAACCCTATGTTTAACATTTGAAGAATCCTCCAGGTATTTTCTAAAGGGACTACACCATTTTACAACACTCCAGTTCCTCTACATCCCCATCAACACTTGCTATTGTTTCTCTCTCTCTTTCTTTTTCATCCTTTTATTGGGAGCTCTTACAGATAGCATAACATTCCATAGTTCCATCACTTCAAGCAGTATTATACAATTGCTAGCACAATCAGTTTTGAAACATTTTCTTTCTTCTTGAACTCCTTGATATCAGTTCCCCTTCAGCCCCCCCCCCCCAGGAACCCTTATTATTGTTTTTGCCATAGCTCACACATCCAGTGTATCCATACACACACGATTCTGTTATTAGATTCCATTGAGTGGAGTTATACAGTCACAGATGCTACCGGCTTCCTATCCTCACTCCCATCTCTTTTTAAGTATCCCACAATGCATATTTTAAAGCAGTTGGTAGGTAATCATAGTTTCTCAAATCAAGCAAATATAATATGGGAGTACCCAAACAAAACAAACAAACGAAAAATGCAACAAACTCACGGCCATCAGGTTGATTCTGACTCACAGGGCCCCTGAAAAGAGGGTAGAGCTGTCCCTGTGAGTTTCTGAGACTAACTCTGCACAGGAGGAGAAAGCTCCCCTCCAGCTGGCTGGTAGTTTCAAACTGCTGACCTTTCAGATCGCAGTCTGATGTGTCACCACTCTGACACTACACTCCTTCTGGGAGTACCAGAAAGGGAAAATGAAACAAAACAACAACCACAGGAAAACAGCTGGACTTCAAATGGTTTCAGTTGTGGAGCATCATCTGTAGGTTGGGGGAGGGGCAACCAACCCAAGTGCTCATTCCAACTGGTTCTTGGGCCATCCTTGGCACACACACACACAAGCAGTGAAAACAAACTCAACAGCCACAGGTGGACAACGTCTGGTTTGGTTTAAAGTCAGAAGGATGAGCAAGGTTACTCTGGTTTTAAAGGACCAGCATGTTCCTTGTGACCAAGAACTAGAGCTAAATATGATTCTTCCCAGAGGAGGTCCCCCACCCCAACCCCCCTGTTTAGCAACACAACAAATAAAGCATTCACTGGTTCTAAATCTTTCCTGCCTGTCTGCCTGTCTGAGTTGTGCATGCTACCTGGGGAGTACAGTGGTTCAGAGGATAGTCTAGGGGTGGAGCCTGGGCCAGTGCCAGCTTGTTTTCAGATTAGGTATGTCGAAATGGAGTTTTCGGCATGAACAGGACTTAGGTTTCCACCGAAGCAGTCTATTTTCATTTGCAGGGAAATTTCAGACGGTAATAACTATAATGAGGCAAAATGGGGCAGAGGAGGAAATTGTTGCTAGCCCTTGGATGTTAACCCCTGCAAGCCTCAACTCTGAAATTGCCACCCACAATCATGAATGACATTTGCCAAGGAGGACCTGGGTGCCCTACACTGTGTGTAGGGCTTTCGACGGTGATATTTTGTTTAATCCTCACACTAGCCCTATGAAGTAGGCACTATTATCATTGTCATGGTCATTTTAGGAAAGTTCAAGAACCGGCCATTATATCACAGTTTATAAGCAGCAAAACCAGCTTAGCAAGCCAGACTGGGAGCCCAAAGCTGACACTCTTAACCACTGGGCTATGATGGCACACAATAAGAGGAAGGAACTTGCAGGAGGCTGTGCCTGCAGAATGCCCGGGCTGGCCCAGACAGCTGAGAAGCAGGCACTCATCCACCCGTTGGAAGCCCATAGATGAAAATAGCAAGCGCTGCAATTATGGTGCTGGGGAAGAATATTGAAAGTACTGCGGAGTCCCAGAAGAACAAATGCCTCTGTCTTAAAAGAAGTGCAGCCAGGATGCTCCTGAGAAGCAAGGATGGGGAGTCTTTTTTTCATTTTTCTTTTCTTTTTTAATTATTTTATTGGGGGCTCATACAACTGTTATCCCAATCCATACACACATCAATTGTACTTTCATTGTCCTCATCATTCTCAAAACATTTGCTCTCCACTTAAGCCCCTGGTATCAGCTCCTCATTTTTCCCCCTCCCTCCCCCCTCCCCTTTCCCTCATGAACCCTTAGATAATTTATAAATTATTATTTTGTCATGTCTTACACTGTCCGACGTCTCCCTTTACCCATTTTTCTGTTGTCCGTCCCCCAGAAAGGAGGTTATATGTAGATCCTTGTAATCAGTTCCCCGTTTCCACCCTCCCCTCCCTCTACCCGCCTGGTATCACCACTCTCACCACTGGTCCTGAAGGGATCATCCGCCCTGGATTCCCTATGTTTCCAGTTCCTATCTGTACCAGTGTGCATCCTCTGGTCTAGCCAGATTCGTAAGGTAGAATTTGGGTCATGATAGTGGGGGGTGGGGGGAGGAAGCATTTAGGAACTAGAGGAAAGTTGTATGTTTCATGGTTGCTACACTGCACCCTGACTGGTTTGTCTCCTCCCTGAGACCCTCTGTAAGGGGATGTCCAATTGCCTACAGATGGGCTTTGGGTCCCCACCCGGCACTCCCCCTCGTTCACAATGATATGATTTTTTGTTCTTTGATGCTTGATACCTGATCCCTTCAACACCTCGTGATCACACAGGCTGGTGTGCTTCTTCCATGTGGGGTTTGTTGCTTCTGAGCTAGATGGCCGCCTGTTTACTTCAAGCCTGATGGAGAGTTTTTGTCTCATGTACTTTGTGGACATGAGATGGGTTGACACACCGGTTGCAACCATGGACTCAAATATAGCAACAATTGTGAGAGGATGGCACAGGACCGGGCAGCGTTTTGTTCAATTGTACATACGTTGGAATGGATTCGACAGCATCTAGCAGCAGTGACAACGACTGTGTCAGATTCTCTAGTGGCAGCCAGGTGGCCCAGCTCCTCACTGTAATGCGATGTAAGAGGACAACTACTGGGGTGTGGTGTGGTATGGTGTGGGTGTCTTTGGGGCTAGAGCTTTCTATCTACTTTTTTTTTTTTTTTTTTAAAGAAGAGATGCAATGTATTCTTGACACCAGCTTTACAGCCGTAGAAGGTCACAGGGGGCAGTTCTACTCTTCCCATAAGGTCTCTCTGAGTCAGCATGAATTCCGCGGCCGTGAGTTTTTATTCAGTCCTCTGCTTTCTGCCTATGTGGTTGATGGTGATTTAATGAGAGGCTCCAGCGATGGTAGCCATCTGTGACCATGAGGCTACTCTAAGGTAGGGTCAGAGAGCCAACGTGCTGAAGATGGTGAAACCAAAGGATTGTAACATCCTGGTCCTTCGTGGACACACCTTGGCGCTGTCTCCCTCTAGACATGTTACGGGAGACAATTAAATGTCTTTATTGTTTATGCCTCTATGGAGAGACAGTCAAGCATAATAGTTCAGAGCATGAGCCGGCAAGCCTGGGTTTAATATACCCTGACTGTAGTCCATCGTAATGTCTACCCTCCATTTCCTCATCTGTGAACTAGAGATAATAAAAAAACCTACTGCCTGGGGTTATGGCGAGGGTTAAATGAACAATATGTAAAGCGCTTCAAATAGGCTTGCCAGCTAAAAAGTCTCTATGAATGCTAGCTAATTATTTGATTTTTATCCACCAGCCTTTTACCTCACAGCCCCAACTTCTTTATGTTAGAAAAGTTCAAATCTACAAAAATCGCAGGAAAATACAAGGAACACCAGAAAATCTGAACCTACGATGGCTAGTTGATATCATTTCCCCAGGTTGACTCATCTTCTTCTTCTCTCTGATTTTCCTGAATCATTGGACAAGTAGCCGCCAGCAGGCTCCTATGGTAAAACAGGGGAATGCTGGGACCTATACAATGTGGAAATCTCTCATAGAAGGAAC